ATCAATGACCCTCAATCAAAATTTAAGAGTTATAGCTCTACCGGTTCGCCAAATACAAATTGTAGTATATTTAGTCCATTGTAGTACATTTCGTACCGTTCTAGTATGAATTTACAAAAACCCAGCCATATCTGACATCATCGGAACCCAAATTTCATCATCAAACCCAAATTTCAAGATTCTAGCTTCAACCGTTCGATCTGGGCGTTGATACCCTTCACCACTTTGGATACATACAAAAGATGGTCATATGTACAATATCCTTTATATATAATAGACATAGCATCTTAGGAGCACCATTAAAATAGGATCGGGCGAAATTAACTGCGTATACAGATATTTGAACTAAATTAAAACCACCCATACACATACCAATCTAAAATATATGAAAACATTAATATCAATCATCGAACAAAATATGTATAAGATCTTTACATAAAATCGGACGAAACTATATATGGGAGATATATCTAAATATGAAGCGATTCCAAAAAAACTTCACGGATGTCAACCTGTATTAACTCTAATACGGTATGCAAAATTTTGTTTCAATCGGAAAACATTGACTGTATGGTGCTCCATTTACATAAAATCGGCCGGAACTATATATGGGAGCTATATCTAAATTTGAACCGATTTAAAGAAAACTTGGAATATATCAATTTAGACCTAATTCAATACTCTGTGCAAAATGTTGTCTCAATCGGACCCATATTGGGAGTTTGGTGCACCATTTACATAAAATCGGACGAAACTATATATGGAAGCTATATCTAAATCTGAACCGATTTCTGTGCAAAATTTTGTCCCAATCGGACCAATATTGGGAGTTTGGTGCGCCATTTACATAAAATCGAACGAAACTATATATATCTAAATCTGGACCGGTTTCAACAAATCTTCACAGACATCAAACCGGACGTAATTCAGTACGCTGTGCAAAATGTTATCTCAATCGGACAAATATTGGGAGTTTGGTGCATCATTTACCTAAAATCGGACGAACATATATATGGGGGCTATATCTAAATCTGAACCGATTTTTTGTGGGATAAATGTACCAAAGGTGTTTTGGAAATTCGAACTATAAGATTTCCAGCCGCGTCGGTCTTGTGCGCATCTCATCCAATTTGAAAGACCATTTTCCGAGATATCTTCACTTCATCTTTCCATGGCTTGCTTTTATATGCTTTTATATGCTGGGGCATCTTCATCCATTCTCACAAGATGGCCAGGCCAACGTAGTCACTGCAGCTCGCTTCGTGTAACTATGTCGATGTCCGAGTATAAATGGTATAGCTCATGGTTCATTCGACGACGATATTCACTATCGACCCTGATCGGTCCATAGGTCTTCCGGAGAAATTTTCTCTGATCCAATATCTGCCTCGTCTGCTTCCGTAAGTACCCTTGGTTAAGATCCATATTCCAATTTCAATAGGGTTCGTCCTTAGCTGTCCAAATCGGATTATAAATGCGACATGTACTTTGTTTACAATTTAACATTAACAGTCGGACGGACATGCATAAATCGACACAGAAAGTGATACTATTTATATTCCCAAAAGGAATCATTCGTCGACCTCGTTTCAGGATTGCAGCTCCATCCGTTATTCCAAATTAAAATTTGTACCAAGTACTGTATAGTACATTCTGTATATATGACTACGCACATCCAGAACCATCTACTTAAGTCTTCCAATCTTGATTCGCAATCAAAATTTCAAGTTTTTAGCTTTATCCGCTCACCTACGAAATTGTATCAAATTTTGTCTATTTTGGTACTTTCTGTGTACTTATAGTTCGAGTTTCCTAAAAAAAACCTTCATTACATCTATCCTAAACTCCATCAATGACCCTCAATCTAAATTTAAGAGTTATAGCTCTACCGGTCCGCCAAATACAAATTGTAGCATATTTAGTCCATTGTAGTACATTTCGTACCGTTCTAGTATGAATTTACAAAAACCCAGCCATATCTGACATCATCGGAACCCAAATTTCATCATCAAACCCAAATTTCAAGATTCTAGCTTCAACCGTTCGATCTGGGCGTTGATGAATCGTTAAGTGACTCACTGACTACTTTACTCTTTTAATATCATAAGATTTTAGTTATTTGAGAAAACTTCGGAATTCCCTCTAACCATTGCTGCAAAATTTATAAAAATCGGTTAAGTATTTCCTGAATTATTAGCATTTGAATACATCCATGCTCCGAAATCTACTACCTCTTCGGTGCTGGGCGCCTATTACCTAAAAATGAAAAACCCCACAAAAATCGATCTTTTAAAAAAGCCATTTTTGCTTCCCATGCATACGCAGCTGATGTGTATGTATGTGTTAGTAAATATGTTTTACAATACGTATGTGCATAAATCAGAAACAATTCCACCTACCAAATTTAAATTGTACTACATTTATTTTATTTATTTATTTTAGACTTCTCTGGACAGTTATTGTTCGAATTCCCAAAAACCCTTTGGTACATATATCTTGCACTCCATTACTGACCCTCATTCCAAATTTCTGAGTTGTAGCTCTACCGGTTCGCCAAATATAAATGGTAGCATATTTAGTACTTTTTTGTACTTTTCGTGCCGTTCTAACTTAGATTTTAAATATGTGTGAAAACTTCAGAATTCCCTCTAACCATTGCTGCAAATTTTATAAAAATCGGTTAAGTATTTCCTGAGTTATTCGCATTTGAATTCTACCATACTTCGAAATATACTTTCTGTTCGGTGCTGGGCGCCTATTACCTAAAAATGAAAACCCCCACAAAAATCGATCTTTTAAAAAAGCGATTTTTGCTTCACATGCATACGCAGCTGATGTGTATGTATGTGTCAGTAAATATGTTGTACAATACATATGTGCATAAATCACAAACAACAATTCCACCTACATACATACAAAAAGCAACGAGAAATTGTATGTATGTATACCACAAGTATGTATGTATACATTTACAGACATTATGACAAAAAAAAAACATTTTGCCGTTTTTAAAAGACTGATTTTTAGAGAGATTTTCATTTTCAGGTAATAGGCGCCCAGCACCAAAAAGAAAGTACATTTCGAAGCATTGTTAAATTGAAATACAGATAACTCAGCAACTACCGAACCGATTTTTATAAAATTTGCAAAAATGGTTAGAGGAAATTCTGAAGTTTTATTACACAATGGCAATTCATATTTTTAGTCTCATATAGGGTGATTTTTTAGCTATTATCGTTTTGGCAACGTCATTTTGAAAAGCTTACACACATTTCGTGTTTTGTTCCACTTTCAAAAACGGTTTCAGTTTGGTCAGTGTATGACTTACCAATTGTTGTGTGGTTTTACATTTTTAGGTAATAGGAGCCCAGCACCGAATAGATGAGGTATATTTCGAAGTATGGTCGAATTTAAATTCTAATAACTCAGGAAATACTTAACCAATTTTAATGAAATTTGCATAAATGTTTAGAGGGAATTCTCAAGTTATTCTGGCATATTTGACAATACATATATAGCTGGTATTTAAATACTCCCTAAAAACTCTCTTCTGCTCGTCCATAAATACTGCCTTCAACTAGTCGATAGATACAAATTAAATTCGTCTATAAACACTCCCTTCTTCAGCTCGTCTATAAAGACTCCCTTTTTCAGCTCCTCTATAAAGACTCCCTTCTTCAGCTCGTCTATAAAGACTCCCTTCTTCAGCTCGTCTATAAAGACTCCCTTCTTCAGCTCGTCTATAAAGACTCCCTTCTTCAGCTCGTCTATAAAGACTCCCTTCTTCAGCTCGTCTATAAATACTCCCTTCAGCTCGTCTGTAAAGGCTCCTTCTTCAGCACTTTTATAAAGTTTCCCTTCGTCAGCTCGTCTATGAAGACTCCCTTCTTCAGCTCTTTTATAAAGTTTCCCTTCGTCAGCTCGTCGATAAAGACTACCTTCAGTTCTGCAAAATCACATTTTTTTATTCATGTCGATCTTGCAGCAAATGAACGATATGAGAATAAAAAAATCATAAATGTTTTTTTTTAATACTTCATGTATCATAAACATTGTTTATTGTTGTTTTTGGGGTTTTTTTATGTTATATTGTTATATTATAATGTATATATATATATTTTATTCATGTCATGTCTTGCATCAAATAAGCGATATGAGAATAAAAAATTCATAAATGGGGTTTTTTAATACTTCATGTATCATAAACATTGTTTATTGTTGTTTTTGGGGTTTTTTTATGTTATATTGTTATATTATAATGTATATATATGTCTAGTATTCGTAATTACGACTTGTTCGTATTAATAAATATCGAAAAATATTTAAATTTTATTCAATAAACTGGGATATATATAATGTTTGGGTAGGGGGAGGAGAGGAGGTGGAGAATTAATGTAGTTTAGTTATACATATATAGAAACTGTTTGAATATAATAATATCATTATTTAAAGAATTAAAGTGATCGTCATTATACAGTATTATTATTATAGAATGAAAAACAAAGTAGAGGTGTGCTAACATTTAGACATGCAAAAAGTATTTTTTTAAAATAATGAAAAACACATTGGGCGGGGGGTTTGAGAGGTCATAAAGGGAACAACATTCATTCATTCATTGCATAGCTATTGCTTCCGTATATATTGGTTGGTTGTTTGATTGATTTTGGCTGGATACTAAATTTGTTTTTTATAATTACAGTTATAATAAATAATTACTTAAAAGTATATATAATATATAGCTTAAAAATTATGATATAATTTTTAATAACAAAAATATAATAATAAAGATAATAATATATGTTCTTTTTTTTTAAATATCATACAAACATCATAACAATTTTTTTCTATATATTATAAACTAATAGAAAAATATAAATGTCTATGTAAATATATTTTTTTTTAGATTTACACCATCCATGAAGAAAAAAATATTGGGGAAAATATATATAAAACAATAATAAATAGGTAAAGAAAAAAATAATTCACAACTCTTATTTTCTGTTCGGATTTATTGTTCCAAATAATCCATGGTCTTTATAAATTTCACCACCGAACCAAACAAGGTCCAATGAAATAGTTCTTCACCATTCAATTTTTCACCAATAAAACAAGTGATATATTCGACCGTTGATAATAGATAAGGTGGATTGGCCTAGGGGTTGGAGAGAGAAGAGAAAAAATTAAATAGAATGGTAAACGGTATGAAAGAAACTCACCATAATAACAACATAAATGAGTACGGGTAAAATATCATCGGCAGCTGGTACTCGACCACTGGACATGTGCAGTAAGCTCATTATACTCGATATACATCTGTTGAAAATAATAATAAAAACACGTTTATCTTACGACTGACGAAAAAATAAATCGTAATGACAACAAAGACCACTCGTCTGTAAAAACACACTTCATCTGGTCTAGAAATACTCTCTTCCACTAGTCTATAAAGACTTCTTTCGTCTCGCCTATAAATACTCTCCCTACAGCTCGTCTATAAAGACCCGCTTCAACTCGTGTATAAAGATTCCCTCCACCTCCTCTATAAAGAATTCTATCAGTTTTTTTTATAAAGACTACCTTTCACTGGTCTCTAAACACTTTCAATCGTTTATAAAGACACCCCCACTCGTCTATATAGTATCGCCTCTTTAGTCCATTTTAAAACATTTCCTACAGTTCGTCTATGGAATATAATTTTAACTCGTCAAAAAGTCTCACTTCTTCAGCCCATATAAACGACTCCCTTCGTATATTAACCTCCATTCTTCATCTAGCTACAAAGACTGAAAAATACTACCTTTCACTCGTCTATAAAGGATCACTCCCATTCATCAATAAAGTCTCACTATCACTCGTCTATAAAGACTCACTCCCACTTGTCTATAAAGACACACTCCCACTCGTCTATAAAGACTCACTCTCACTAGTCTATAGAGACTCACTCACACTAATCAACAAAGACTCACTGCCACTCGTCTATAAACACTCATTGCCGCTCGTCTATAATGATCCCTTCTTCTTTAAAGACTCACTCCCACTCGTCTATAAACACTCTCCCCACTCATCAAAAAAGACTCACTACCACTCGTCTATAAAGACACACTCCCACAAGTCTTTAATGACTCCCTTCTTCAGCTCATCTATAAGGACTCCCTTTCACTCATATATAAAGACTCACTCCCATTCGTCTATGAATACTTCCTTCCGCACTCCACCAGCTAGTCCCTTTATAAAGACTCATAAATACTACCTTTCACTCGTCTATAAAGACTCACTCCTACTCGTCTATAAAGACTCACTCCCACTCATCCATAAAGACTCACTACCACTCGTCTATAAAGGCTCACTCTCACTTGTCTATAAAGACTTACTGCCACTCGTCTATAATGAGCATTTCTTCAGCTTCGTCTATAAAGACTCACTTCCACTCATCAATAAAGACTCACTCCCACTCGTCTATAAAGACTCACTCCCACTAGTCTATAAAGACTCAATTCCGCTCGTCCATAAATACTGCCTTCACCGTACGGATAAATACCAATTAAGCTCTTCTATAAATACTCCCTGCAGCTCGTCTATAAATACTCCCTTTAGCTTGTCCATAAAGACTCCTTTCTTCACCTCGTCTATGATGACGCCTTTCCGCTCACTTTTAAGACTCCCTTCACGTCTATAAAAACTCTCTTCCGCTCGTCCATAAAGACTTTCTTCAGCTCGCCGATAAATACCAATTAAGTTCCTCTATAAATAATCCCTTCAGCTCGTCTATAAATATTCCCTGCAGCTAGTTCATAAAATCTCCCTTGGTCAGCTCGTCTATAAAGACAACCTGACTCCCTTCAGCTCGTCTTCAAATACCCCATTCACGTCGTCTAAAAGTCTTCATTCAGTTCGTCTAAAAATCTCCTTACATCTCCTTCCACTCTTCTATAAAGACTCCCTCCAGCTCGTCCATAAAGACTCCCCTCTTCAGCTCGTCTATGATGACGCCTTTCAGCTCGTTGTCCATAAATAATGCCTTCAGTTCGTCGATAAATACCAATTAAGCTCCTCTATAAACACTCCCTACAGCTCGCCTATAAATACTCTCTGCAGCCCGTCCATAGACTTCCTTCTTCTGTTCGTCTATATCTCCTTTGGTCAGCTCGTCTATGAAAACACTCTTCTTTAGTTCTTCTATGACACCCTTCAGCTCGTCTTTCAACACTCCATTCACGTCGTCTATAAGTCTCCCATAAGGTCATCTAAAAATATACCTTAAGGTGTATAAAAGACACTTATAAAGACTATCTTAAGGCCGTGTTTAAAAGCTCCATGCTACACTCATATAAAGAATGCCTCGTCTATACAGACTCCCTTTAGCTCGTATATAAAATTTCCCTGCAGCCTGTTTATAACGACTACATTCCACACTCATATAAAGACTACCTCCAGCCCGCCTACAAATACTGTCTACCACATCGACTTTAAAAATTCCATTATTCCATAAAGTCTCAATTAATAGTTTCCTTTCCTCTCGCCTATATATATGCTTTCTATGTACTAAAATAATTCAAAATACATACCTTACAACACATTGTAGCTTTTCGCGAGGTGTTTTATAGGCCGATATAAATGACAATTGTTGCTGGGCAAAACTCCATGGGGCTTCGGATAAATAAATTTGGGGTATACACAAAGCTGGATGGGATGGTGTTATAATATTTTGTAATTTGCGTATATGCTCCGATAAAACACTGAAAAATATTAAAAATTAAAAAAAAAAAATAACATCAACGAAATCCGAAGAAATACAATTTTCTCTACTTACGTATCTCTTGACAAATCAGCATCCTCATTGGGAAACATAACCTGTTGATAGATACTCTGCAATAGAATACGCTCCAATGCCAGACGTGCCTCAATCGCTTGCCATTCAGGCATACCATTCAAAATGCCACCCGGTGCCAATAATTCTTCTACGAGGCCATCAAGATATTCTTCAATTAATTCGATTTTATCATCTGAAACCGTTAGACGGGCAAATTCTTCTTGGAATGTTACAAAACTATCTTGTTTCTTTTCAAAGAATAAACGCATACACAATGCCATTAGATAACGATTACATGTGGTACTTTCACTTCTTAATCTAGATTCGAATTGATCGATATTTTCCATAATCATGAGGAGATTTTGTCGATAACGCATTAAATATTGTAAATAACTTTGACGCTTTTGTATATCATTTTGTAGTTCTTGCATTAGTTGGGTATGCTGGGCAACATCCAGCGTGGATATACAACGTATCGCTTCCGATACATAGGAAATTTGTTGGAAATTTTGTAAATTTATAGCTTGGGCTAGCTGTATTTGAAGATATGTTAACAGGGGTGAAATGTTGGCATGCTAAAAAGGGAAAAAATGAATTAATTTATTAATTAATAAAAAAATATTAAGTGTTGTTGTGCTTACCGTTGTATGTCGGAAATCTCCAGAATGTAAATCAGTCTTAGACAATACAGTTCGTATCTTCTTCTTGATAATATTGAATGTTAGGGTCTTATCATGCATGGATGGATGTTGATTATTGCTGTAAATAAAAACAAAATGAAATTAAACACGAAACAAAAATTGCAAATATTTGGATTGAGTCATCATTTTTATAAAAATCGATTAGCAAATTTTTTTCCATAAAATTTTCGGAAAAATCGAATGAGAAATCGTACAATCAAATGGACTTAAGTGGTTTAGGTCTCTTATGGAAATTATATAATTTGTTCTTTCGTTTTTGGTGTATCTACTTCATACACCCTTTACATACCTTAAAATTTCTTTACTCGACTCCTCAATGGTCGAACCGCCAACTGCACCCGCTGCACTGGCACCATTACCAATCGATGAATTTGTGGCCTCGCTTGATGTACTAACTTTACGACGATATTTTGCTAAAATATCTTCACTCATATCATAATAACCTCCATTACGATCCTGCGTAGATCCTGCAGCAACGGCGGCTGCTGCTGCTGCAGCGGCACTTGTACTGGGTAAATTGGCACCTAAGAGATCCAACGAAACCTCTGCTGCACTATTCGAAAATGAAACACTACGCGGACATTGTGTAATTTCATCAACATTTCCGCTCGCTGTGTGGCGGGACTTGTGGCCACGACGATGTTTGAAAATGCCCTGTTTTAATTTATTGAAAATACCCGCTGAATTGGATGACGATGCTGCCAAATTTAAGCCATTGGTACGCAACAAAGACGAATCGGGTAAACGTGTTGATGCTGATCTATGATGTCTAGAGGCCATGCCATTTGTGCCTGGCACCCCTCCTCCTCCTGCTGCAGCAGATGATGATGTTGATGCCTTATCCGCCGATGCATCAAAACTTATACTTTTCGGTATGGCTCCAGTTGATTTTGTGGGTTTACTGGTGGCAGATTGTGTCATTATTCCCCCGGGTGCCATATTATTTGTTGGTGTGTTGCGTGCAGCCTCCAGAGAATTATCCATTGTTGAATCGTTGTCATTATTATTGTCCTGGATTTGTAAATCTGAAGTCTTATTGCACAATAGTAATAATTCGTCGGACTGAGACTGCTGCTGCTGGGTTTGTGGTTTATCACTTTGCGGTGATAAATTTGGCATTGCTGATACTCGAGAGGGCACTGTGCTGAGTACAATTTCATGATTTTCATAATTCAGAGACTGATGACGCCGTAAATGTGTCGAAGAATTGGAACCCCGTTCGGTGGATTCACGACCACCTTTCAAGGCCATTATGCCATTACGTCGCCCATCATCTCCTGCCGTTCGTTGCAGCGTATTACTTTGACGTCGTTCTACAAGATCATCGGAAAGATCTTGTAAAGTTGGTGGTTCTGGCGGAGCTATCGAAGGTGGTGTTAGATCTTTATCATCACAAAAATCTGAAAAATCTATTAGATCCTTCGATTCATTACTTGTATTACGTTTTTTCCTCGACGACGTTGATGCAAATGGCGATGGTAATTTGGCTGTCGCTGCCGCTCCTTGTTCCTCCAAACTCAAGCTTTGATTTGAAATACTACTCTCTGCCGAGGTTTGCCGACGCATACGATTTCGATGAGCATTTGCAGCAGCTGTCGATGTACTGGGTGTTAGAAAAGAATCCTTGTCACCACCATCATTGGCAATACTTTTATAGTTTTGTTGGAAACTATCTTCCGCCGCGCCATGTTGATTTGTGGTTCTCACCGAACTGCGGGCCAACGATGAACCATCCCGATAATGATGTTGCGAGGCATTATTCGTTATGGGATTTGAATTGTCGTCATACGAATTGATGGCATCGTAAAATGCTGAATCTTCTTGGGAACGATCGCTGGCATTGCCACCACTGCTGCCGCCGCTCAAGTTCACATCATCAACACTTCCGGTGGAGGGTGGTTTGGCAGCTGCAACATTTTGTGCAGCTATTGAGGGTCTCGACGAATTCCGATTACCCCGATTGCCGCCACCCATGCCGGAGAAGAATTGTTCCGACAGCGATGGACGTCCATGATGGCGATTGGAGGGGGCCGATGATATGGCCGCAGCCAGCTGATTTCTTTCCCTCTCCGAACGCATACTAATCAATGAGGTGTCCGACCTGGCCGTTATGCTGGCATTATCATCTGTATCCACCTCATTTAATTTCTCCGAATCTGAAGCGAGCACATCAGTACTCCAATTAGACTCCGACCTCTGATCGGAAGCATCTAAATATCCTGCACGAACATCAAAATTATTATCGCCTGGCAAAATGACTGCTGCTGGTATCAGCGGTGTAGAGAAATTCCTCTCTCTTTCCCGTTCACTGGCATCTACGGCCTCCGAATCACTGGCCAATACATCTGTGGACCAGGTGTCTGATATAATCGACACTGTTTCATCTCCTTCAAATTTCTTAATTTCAAATTTACAAAATTTATCTTCAATATCCGAACGAGCTTTTGATATCAGTTTTTGCATTTGTGGGGTGGGTAAGGCATTGTTAAGTGATTCGCCATCGATTACCATTGAAGAGGGTGTATCACGGCCACTGATGTTTGGTGTACCCCGACCCGACACATTGGCCGATACCATATCTGAGAGATTATCATTTTCTGCATTCTCTTCCAGCTCCAAGGAACTAGTCACAGAATGATTGGAGGGTACCTCACTAACAGCCTCCAGGTTATCTGAATTACCAATGGAGGCATCATCATGTGATAATGAAAATCTGGGTGTTTTATTATGCAAAGGCCTTAGGACATCCGACATGCCATCAATACCATCGAAACCATTTACCACCGATGATTTATCGACAGTGGATTCTTGTTGATAGTTTTCCGTATCTACCAAATCGCTATTATCCTGACCAATGCTATTCATCTTCAACACTTCCTCTTCCGACAACGGCTGTAGTTTTTGCTCACCACTACAATTATAGAGATTGAATATCAATATTGGTTCATTATCCACCTCTGGTGCTATAGATCTTGTTGGCGATGAATGATTAGAGTTGTGATTAGATGAGGGATTATCTCCCACACCATTGCCATTAATGTGATGACCATTTACCATCAAGGCATTCCCCGACGACGAAGATAAATTAGCTTCGCTATTGCCATTATGACTAAAACTCATAGTCTTAGCCAATTTACTTTTGGTTGCCTTGCTAATCAACGACTGTTTTGATTTCTCCTTGGCTGGTGAAGAATCATTGCCTGCCGCCGGTTGTTGTAATGCCTCTGAACTACCATTTTGATGGACACTACTTTCCGGTAATTGTTTTAAGATTTTCTTCAACTTGTCCTTATCCTCATCTGGTATATCATACTCATCCGATGCGGTTAGTATTCGAAAGAAATCGATGAAATAATTTAAATCCCTCTGGGTGGCCATTAGCTGGGTACGGTCGAAATCACTTTGTTGTGCCAATATGGCGACAACATCCTCCCCCGTTTGAGTGACCAAAAGTAAATCAATCAATCGTGTCACTTGATTCGATTCAAATTGTCCATATACTTCGGCATAACGGGCATCGATGTCATCATGTTTGGTCAACGCCAACATTTGTACAATTTGACCAATTTGCATAAGATTAAAACGAACTTGCTCGGATATCGGTGCATCGATAATACCCATTACATCGGGACTAACTATTGCCGGACATATGAAATGTGTAAAAACCATATCGGTGATAATTTCATTCATTATCTTTTCGGAAAAATGGTGAGATTGTTTCAGCTGATGACACATTGTTTGTACTAGCCATCGCAGGGTGGAGGGGAACAGTGACCAATTATATAGTAAACTATCAATAAAGGTCTTCGCTAAGTTGTGTAATTTTTGTATTGTCTCTGTATGAAATTTATCGATGTTTTCGGCATATGCGGCAGAATCTTCGGGACCAAATCTGAAAGAAGAAAAAATAGATTATCTTCATGTACCACAGGGAGATATTTTTTCTGTAGAAAGAAGTAATACTCAGTCATTAAGGACTTTTTAGGAAAAAAAAGAACTGGAAAAAATTGTCCTGTAATTTTTAAGAAAAAAGAAATCCTCAGAAACTGAAAATATGACAGAACCTGAGAATCTTTTCTATAGAAAACATATTAGTTCTGGTGACCTGAGAATTTTTCCTATAGAAAAAAATGTCAGTTCAGGTGGCCAGAGAATTTTTTTTTCTGTAGGAAAAATATAAGCCCTGGTCTTCTGAGAATTTATTATATATCATTCCTGATGTCAACGTGGTCTGTGATTTTTTTCTATGGCCTGATAATTTTTTCTATATAGAAGAAATAAGTCCTGGTGGCCTAGAAAAAATATCAGTCCAGGTGGCCAGAGCATTTTTTTCTGTAGGAAAAAATATAAGTCCTGGTCTTCTGAGAAATTGTTCTATATAAGTCTTGATGTCATGGTGGTCTGAGATTTTTTTCTATGGCCTGATAATTTTTATATATAGAAGAAATATGTCCGGTGGCCTTGATTTTTTTTCCATATAGAAAATATCTGTCCTGGTTGTGAGAGAATTTTTTTTATATAGAAAATACCAGACCAGTATCACATAATATTTTTTCTAAATAGAAAATATCAGTCCTGATTGCCTGAAAACTTTTTCTAAAAAAAAAATATTAGTCCAGGGGGCCTGAGAATTTTTTAAATATGAGTTAAATATGACTCTATAGGAAAAAATATCAGTCCTGGTGGCCTAAGAATTTCTTCTATATTAAAAAAAAATAAGTCCTGTTTCTATATCTAAAAATAAGTGCAGGGGATTTTTTTCTAATAAAGTCCTAGTGGCCTGAGAATTTTTTTTATTTAGAAAAAATTAGGTCCTGTTGTTATGTGTCCTGCTGGCCTGAGAGTTTTTTTTTGTATATCAAAAAATATGAGTTCTGGTGGCCTGAGAATTTTTTCTATAGAAAAAATCTTAATCCTGTGATTTTTTTTCTGTAGAAAAAATAACAGTCCTGGTCTATAGAAAAAATATCAGTCCTGGTGGGCTGTGAATTTTTTCTATTGAACAAATATCTGGCCTGAGAATTTTTTCTATAGAAAATATATATTTTTATATAGAAAAATATCAGTCATATCAGCTTCAAAAAGTTGTATAAATAAAATATAACAGTTATGGTGGCCTGAGAATAGTAATATAAAATACAAATAAAAATTAAAATATCAAAATACTCACCTCCTTATTCTCTCCTTGCTACTAAAACGCTGTATAACTTTTTGCGGATCAACATCCAAAATGGTATCCGTTTCAGTTAATACACTCATTATGGGCTGAAACAGGGCAGCTGTCAGGAATATTTTCGCTGAAAACATCGATTCATTTAAACGATGATAGAGGCGGGAAAATGATGAAGCATTTGCTCTCAGCAACCGACGTGGATTATCACTGGTTACAATTTGTATTTCAATGAGTTCACGCAATAATTTCAATGTCATTTCGACATCTTTTGTATTGATGGCATTACCAAAAAGTCCTGTACTTATCGTTTGTATTACGGAATTCATGTGATGTGGTGATATTTCACCAATACTATCGCCCGTTGCCAGGGATACAGCCAAAATATATGGCGATTTGTAGAGATAATTAAATAATTCTTCATAGGCAATGGCATGCTGAAAAGAATGTGCAAAAAAATGTAAGTTATGCATCTCAACCAGACAAATATATATGTATGTACTCACTTCATAATTTAAAACTTTCTTGGAATCAACAAAATTGGATTTTTCATAGTTATTGGCACGCCGACAACACAATGATGGTCCCAAGTCTGGACGTGAAACAATTAAATCGTTTAGATTTCGTCTTTGTTGGGCACATATGTAAGCCAACTGTAAATGGTAGAAAAACAACAAAATTAAAAAATATCACAACAATGCAATTATAGAAAAAAATAAAAGACGTGATAGCTCACTCACCTTTGTTATCGATGTTGAATTCTCTGACAATGCCTCTGTCAGCTGGGCAAATGTTGCCTGCTCCTGTTGTATGAATAGCTGTTCTTGTCTCAGTGTACGTGCTAAATCCATTATCTCTAAGAGATTTCCTTCCGTATTCGATTCCATGTTTGCCGCTTCTGTGTTTTATAAATTTTGTATTTTTTCTTTTTCTACTTAACAAAGAGTACTGCTGAATATTACAAAGAACCGTCACCACACAAATCAAATCACTTCTCCGATGATTTTGATTTCTTTTTTCTTCGACCTTTATTAAACCATTAAATATTGCGATACTGAAAAGAAATAAATGAATGAAGGAGAAATAGTATAAGAACTTGTAATTACTGTCCAAATTATAGGAAAAGGAAAAAGCAAATACAAATATATAAATTATATGTGTGCTAAATATAAACTTGAACTTGAAGCGAGGGTGGTTCTCTCGCTCGCCTTTATCAAGGCTTGTCTGGCGTTAGGAATACAACAACAACATCATCAGCAGCAACAACAACGACGACAATACTATTAACAATAAAAGTAATTACACGGACGAAATTATTGTGCAAGGCGCTAACAAGTACTTTTTGATGACGTAGATAAATATATTAATTTTCTATGGGTACGAGGTTGGTATGATAATTCTCAGTGGCCTGAGAAATTTTTTTCTATAGAAAAAGTAATCCGTGGACCTGAGAACATTTGTTATATTGAGAAAAGTAGTCCTCAGGGCATCTGAGGAATTTTTTCTATAAAAAATTTTTCTATAGAAAAAAGTAATCCACAGGGACTTGAGGAATTTTTTTCTATAGAAAAAATTAATCCTCAGGTGACCTGAGGAATTTTGATTCTATAGAAAAAATTAATCCTCAGGGGACCTGAGGAATTATTTTCTATTGAAAAAAAGTAATCCTTAGGGGACCTGAGGAATTTTTTTATAGAAAAAAAGTAATCATCAAGGGTCGTGAGGAATTTTTTTCTATAGAAAAAAGTAATCCTTAGGGGACGAGTGGAATTTTTTTCTATAGAAAAAAGTAATCCTCAGGGGACGAGAGGAATTTTTTTCTATAGAAAAAAGTAATCCACAGGGGTCCTGATGAATTTTTTTCTATAGAAAAAAGTAATCCTCAGGGGACCTGACGAATTTTTTTCTGAGGAATTTTTTTCTATAGAAAAAACGGGTCCTGAGGATTTTTTCTATAGAAAAAAAGTAATCCCCAGGGGTCCTGAGGATTTTTTATAGAAAAAAATAATACTCAGGGGACCTGAGGAATTTTTTTCTATAGAAAATAAGTAGTCCACAGGGGACCTGAGGAATTTTTTTTCTATAGGAAAAAAATAATAAGAATTAATTATCTTCTATCGCAGGAAAGTAGTTCTAGGGAATTTTTTTGCCAAAGCATAGCCTCATATAAAAGCATCCATCGATTTTAGGTATTTGAAATGGTGGAGAATATATAATTTTCGCTATGGTCGAACTTTTTCTTGGTTCTATTGGTTCCGCAGATCTGAGAATTATCCTTAAACGAAAGCACTTGTTTTATAAAAAATTAAGCCAAGGTGCCAAGGTGACTCTCAGGTCGTATTTTCTCTATATAAAAAAATAGTCCTTAGACATTGCGGAGTTTTTTTTCTAAAGAAATTGTACACCACAGGCAATTCGGTGGAACTTAGGAAATAAGAATACTTGTGAAACAATTATTTTTCAGACCCGGAAACATTTCCTATGGTGCTCAGAAGCTGAGGAATATATTAAACAAAATTTCCTTACATCTTTAAGCATTTTTTTATAAAATAAAGAACGTCAATTGTAGTAAACCCCTCGTTTATAAATTCTAATTGAAAGGCGTAAATTCTCAATCACAAAAAATAAATTAAACAAATTGCACGAAAATGGGTTATTACAGAAACGAACAAAAAACTATGCAATGAAAATTGGGTGAAATATTTAAACTATTTATATTTCCAAATAACAGATCGATGAAATCATCCTGAAATTGTCAAATCCTTCAGAAGGCAGTAAAAACCAGTAAGGAAAGTAGTAAAGTCGGACGGGGCCGACTATATGATACCCTTCACCACTATGGATATATTAAACAGGACTATTAACATGAAATTGGATGAAATAAAAAATGTGATATTTATCTAATTGTGAATCTACCTACATATCCATAAGTTATATAAATCGACTTCAATCAAATATAAATAGGTTATCTGTTGGGCTATGTCTTTACTTCTAGAAAACGCAACTACGTAATTCTATGCTCAATTTTGTACGTTGTGCAAAATTTGATGTCAACCTGACTAGCATGAAAGTTTGATGTCCAATTTACTTAAAATCGGGCGAAAATATATATGGAAGCTCTATCCAAATATATCGAAGGATATATAGGGACTTTGGTGCACCATTTACATGAAATCGGACGAAACTATATCTGAATCTGGGCCGATTTTCTCGAAACTTGGCACACATCGTTCGTGGCTCAATTCAGTACGCTATGCCAAATTTCGTGCAAATCGAAAGATTTTCAGGGTCTAAAGTCCGTAAATCGGGCGAAACTATATATGGGAGCTATATCTAAATCTGAACCGATTTTTCCCAATTTCAATAGGGTTCGTCCTTGGGCCAAACAAATGAGCTGTGCCAAATTTCATCCAAATCGGATCATAAATGCGACCTGTACTTTGTTTACAATTTAACATGGACAGACGGACAGACGGACGGACGGACATGCATAAATCGATTCGGAAAGTGATTCTATGCATATTCTCAAAAGGAACCATGGGTCTATCTCGATTATTTTTGCCTGTTACAAACATATGCACAAAGACATAATACCCTGTACCACAGTGTGGTGAACGGTATAAAAATACGTCAAAAAATTTAAATTTTTACGTTAGTCCAACGAAAATATGAAACACACTACTGATTGTCTAAATTACAACCGAACTTGTTATAGAATATATTCGTTACAGAAAAATTATTTCTCTTTAATAGTTTTAGAGAAGTATTGGTGCTAGTCGTCTTATTCCTTATATAAAAAAAGTCCAAATGTATTACGTTTTAATTTAGTCAATGTCAATATCACATGTAATTTTCCAAAAATAAAATAGGAAAATTGTTGTATTGAACATTTCAACCATTGAATATGTTTACATTTCAAATCAAATATTTCCCTCAAACTAGTTTGCACCGCTTTGTTATAGACCCTTACGAGAATTATATTTATTGTAAATGGTGTTAATTATGGCATGTAAACAAAACTACAACTATATACGTTTTATTTTTTTATTGATTTTGATAATTCGTTGTTGGAACAACGAACGAACACGCATACATTTATTTATAATGGTGGAGAGAGAGAAAGAAAAACATTTTCAAAGCTGGAAGTAATTACTTTGGTTCACAAACAAATAATATAGTCTACAAAACTGAAGGCAAACACCCTGAATTTACCCATGTAAATACATTTACAAATATTTAATAAAACATTCCACTAAATGTCAATTTGAATGACATGTATGATGGGTATTAAGGTGTTACGATGTGGAGCACTGTGAGAATTCTTCCTGGGACATAATATCTGGTAGACAGGAAAATTATCAAACTCATAGAGACAATAATAGCCTTTCGAATAAAGTTGTCGTCTTCGACAAAGAAAGTCTACCTTCGAAACATTATGGAGGACAGGGAAGATTTGAATCAAATTGAAAAAGTCCGCAGACAATACAATAGAGCATTAAATGGAAACTGTTCTATAAACAACAGGTCGATAGCGTCAACGATGTTTCAAAAATTAAGAATTTTATACCAACAAATTCCACACCCAAACCGAAATAATGGTGGACAATGAGGGATGCAAATGGATCTTCCTATTAATAATAATAAAACAGTTGATATATATGTATGTATGAAATAAAATAAATTTAAACCCTTATTATGACTTGGCCACTTATAACACACACCGATAATCTACTCTCTTTAGGAGATATAACAAAATATTTTACAACTTAGTGTCAAACTAAAATACGATCCCTCCCTATATACACAAATACAACACATAATCAACACCCAATTACGATTGTTGGCATTAATTTGTTTTATGTACACACCGAAAAGGAAAACAAACACATAATCTGTTATCAAAGTTCAGAAACCTATTGGAGCTACATATTTAAAACAATTTTTATTTTATTTTGTTTTTCGGTTAATGGTTGGCTACTTTAAAAATAAATTATTTGTGAATGGTTGCAAAGTTCATACTAATTGGATATTTTTTTCATAGAATATTTAAATTACTTATAGTTTGGGATATTTCAATATTGGAATTTAAAATGACAATATTGATTTGGTGTTAGTAACAAAATATATATCAATCACGAAATATTTTCGACGATAAAAAGATCACATTTTTTAATGTAAATCACTTTTCCTTTTCATGGGCTACTATCTATGTTGAAGTTAAACATTACTATGATCGGAGTCAACAATCAATGTGTGAACGAATAGAGTTATAATTTTGAAATTTAATATGGAAATTAGAGAATAGGGTTAGACAATTTTATCCATTCTTTTCAGATACTCAGGTCTCCGATTGAATCAACCGACTATTCGAATGGCGATCCTAATCTTATAGAGATACATGGACTAGTTAATTTTTGAAATTTTCAAAATTATTAACTGTTTTAATATGAAATAAACTTCCAATATTTAACATCTAAAATTTTTCTTTGAATATCAAAATATAACCTATTATTATTTTTTTTGTACATCAAAATAACACCTCTTAGAATAAATATGGCGAACTCCAATGAACTCCAATATGTCAGATTTCAATATTAATTTTTAAAATTAAAGATTTTCCATGAGTTAAGTTATATGATCTGTTGCCGTAAAGAAAAATCTACTAATTTGTATTCTTTTTTTCGATATCATAAAGGAACGTTTTTTATCGTAGTTAAAATTAGTAGATTCTAGCAGTACGGGACGAGACCTAAACTATAATAAGTTATAATATTGTATGTTTATTATCAACCAAATCCAAAGTATTCCAAAAAACTCTATTTCATTTTTTTTGTAATATGAGGTCCAAGACATTTTGAATTAATTTTTGTATTGACATCCGAATATATGAAAGTGTATATTT